GTTTAAATCCCCTCTAGATTACCTGTAATACCTCTATCCTGTGAATGTCAAAATTTCTGCTCTTCAGCCTCTTAGCTCTTTAAGGGTGAAGACAACCCAAATGTCAGGCTCACCTAGGTAAGCTTCCCTTCTCTCTGAGTCTTGGCCCCATAATTGCTCAATGCCAACAAGCACATTTTTTTCTTTATTCATTTATTCATATGTGCATACATTGTTTGGGTCATTTCTCTCCCCCTGCCTCTCCCCACCTCTTCCCCCGACCCCCTCACTTCCAGGCAAAACCTGTTCTGCCTTTTCTCCAATTTTGCTAAAGAGTAGACCATAAGCGATAATAAGAAAAACACAGTGTTTTTGCTAGTTGAGATAAGGATAGCTATACAGAGATTCCTAGCATAGCTTCCATGCACAAGTGTATTACAACCCGAATTGATTCATCTCTATTTGACCTCTTCACTACTTCCCCGTCACCTTTCCATATTGACCTCTGTCGTTTTAAGGTTACTGTATTTGCTCTTTTGCAGCGGGGACATCAAACACTTTCAAGTTTTAGGTTTCCTGCCTTTCTCCATTGCTCCTGTATGTGTTCTCTCCTTAGCGTGTGACCCAAGTCTAATAATATTACTGCATTTGTTTTAGATCTAAAGTCCGCATATGAGGGAGAACATATGATTTTTGGTTTTCTGTGCCTGGCTAATTTTGCTTAAGATGATGTTCTCCAGTTCCATCCATTTACTTGTGAATGGTAGATTCTTCTTCATGGCTGAGTAAAATTCCATTGTGTATAAATACGACATTTCTTAATCCATTTGTCAGTAGTGGGGCATCTTGGCTGTTTCCATAACTTGGCTATTGTGAATAGTGCTGCAATACTTAAAGCACATTTTTTAAGATATATTTTGTCAATTTTTTCTTGTTATGAGCAGAAAGGGTAGTCTGAATCAACTTATTCTATCATTGAATTGAAAGCTGTCTGTTTACTTCTAAAATTCTTTTTTTAAGAAATGCTTTTTAAAGTATAGCTCTACAGTGACATATTTAAAAAAAAAACAGAAAAAATATACTCACAACTTAACCCCACTAACAAACACTGCTATCAGTCAAGGGGAGGAGGCATTTGTTTGGTTTTGGTTTGTGGTTTTGGGTATTTTTTGAGATAGGGTCTTGCTGTGTTCCAGGCTGGCCTGGAACTTGCAATCCTCCTACTTCAGTCTGTGAAGTGCTGGGATTATGATCACATACCACCACACCTGTTTCAATTTGAGGTGTTTCTTCTTGGTCTTTTCTTCTCATGAGTACATGAGAAACATGCTCTTTTATTCCATAACCTTATTCCAATTGCATTTTTATAGGTACTTCTTATTGTAAAAATTTTGAAAAGCTATTAAAATCTCCTTTTTGTTGTTGTTGTTGTTCTCCCAAGGGAAGACCTACCACTTCTTCGTACATGACAATGAATCAGCTATCCTATCATCAGTCAGTGAAGCTGACTGATGGGGAAGAAATAGAGTAGCCCTTTCTGCTGGTCTTCTTGGTCATGGCTCACAGTCTTAGCCAATGGAGCCTTGAATCCAAGAAGCTAGGATGGGGGAGCAGGATGAAAAGGTCTGACAAGAATTAAGCATGGGAACCTGATATTCACCACTTTCCACTCCTTTTTGACCCCTCCTCACAGAGGATAGTCTGATGGCTGATTGCCCCTTGCTGTAACCCCACCTCTGCTTCTATATGCTCAGTACCCTACCATGCTCTGTTAGCATCATGCTGGCAGTGACACCAGCTTCTCCCAAGCCTGCAGGGGGGAGATGACCTGTCTTCTTCCCTGTGCTTAAAGTGTTCTGTAAGTTAGAACTTGACAGAACTTTCTGTTGAACACCTGTCTGGCTGTCAGGCACATGATTAATGAGAACATCATTACCTGGATAAAAACAAGCAGTCCCAAGTCAGGACAGATGATATCCCCTCCTTCATCTACTGGGAATGTCCCTGTGCCTGACCTTAGCAAGAATTGTGCTTTACACCACCAGTTCTCAAGCTCCTTTTTGTTCTGATACACGTGACAAATGATTTCCAAAAGCTCAATGTACTCCAGTGCACAATTCCAACATCTGTGCTGTAACTTGAACTCTTTCTCTCACACGCAGAGCATGTGTGAAATGGAAGTGAGTAAAAGTGGCATATCATAAACTTAAATCTTTATTTCCCATCAGATAAAAACATTTGGAGATTTTGTAACACATGTTACTTAAGTAGCAAATCACCAAAGCTGGTTGTTTTCTTACATTTTTTCATTTGGTATAAACGTCATTAATTTTGAAAATTCTTGGGATTTATTTCTTTCAAAATTTTTTTTTGCTGGGGCTGTGGTTTGAACACAGGGTTTGCACTTGCAACGCAGGTGCACTAGCACCTAAGTCACACCTGTATCCTTTTGCTCTGGTGATTTTGGAGATGGGGGGCTCTCACAAATTAATTGCCGGCTTGCTTGAAACCACATCCTCCTGATCTCAACCACCCAGTAGCTAGGGTTATAGAGTGAGCCACCAGCACCCAGCTTTTCTTCAACTATTTTGTCCAATGTCCCAATGCCTTTCTCTTCTGTTTCTAGAATGCCAATTACATATATATGTTTGGATTTTTTTTTTTTTACTGTACTGGAGTTTGAACTCAGAGCCTCATGCTTGCTAGGCAGGCACTCTACCACTTGAAACACTCCACCAGTCATTTTTTTTTGTGTGTGTTGGGTATTTTTGAGATAGGATCTCACTTTTTTGCCTGAGCTGGCCTCAAACCACGATTTTCTTGATCTCTGTCTCCCAATTAGCTAGAATTACCGGTGAGAGCCACCAGCACCTGGCCTATGTTAGACTTTTTGATATTGTGTCACAACTCTTGGATGCTCTGTTCTGTTTTGGTTTTGTTTCTGTTTGGTTTCTTGAGACGGGTTCTCTCTGTGTAGTTCAGATAGGCAAAAGTCAGTTCCTGCTATCTCAGCTCTTGAGTGAGCCCAGTGTGTACCACCACTCTCGACATTTAATCTTCTCTTTGAAACTAAGATTTTTTTTCAGTCTTTATTATTAGTTATTTTTTTCCATTAAGTTTTAGGGTATTTCATTGTACAGGGGGATTCATTGTGACAATTCCAAGCACGATAGATGATTGTACATGCTTGATTAGATCCCACTATCTTCTTCCCCTCAAGAGGTTCTTTGTTTCTATTCAATAGGTATGAAGTCCACCTACCATACCCTCATCTTTCAATTCCTCCATTCACCCTCCCCCTTCCACAAGTACACCCCACCACACATACATCACACTGTACCTATTTTTACAGTCCATTGTCAAAAGTGTTTCTCAATGTATCTCCACCGTGAGTATACTTACTTGGTCTGTTCAATCCCTCCCATTACTCTCCCTTAAACCCTTTACCTCCTACCCCATTTTTTAACAGCTTTTTAACACATATCCTATTTCCTCTACCTTTACAGATTTGTTTACGATATTGTTGATGCTCTACATTCTCTGTTCCTTTCCCCCTTCCCTAGTTCATAGAGTAGTTCCACTATTACAAATATGTAGAACTAGATTTTTAAGTTCTTTCTTTCTTTCTTTCTTTCTTCTTTCTTTTCTTTTTGTGGTACTGAGCCACTCCAACAGCCCTTTTTTGTGAAGGGTTTTCCCAGATAGAGTTTCACAAAATATTTGCCTATGCTGGTTTGAAACCATGATTCCTGATTCTGCCTCCTGAAGTAGGATTATAGGCATGAGCCACCAACAACCAGCAAGATTTTTAAGTTTCTTGAGAACAAGCAGGGAACACAACTAAAACAACTCAAATGCCTTCATATACTTCCCTCCAGATTAGGATAAGCACACTGAGTGTTCACCATACCAGTCAGGTGAAAGATGGATGCTGGATATGTACCAAAAGTGTCTCTTCAGAGATTTCTTGAACTGAGACCACTGTCACCAGGGGAAAGCATCTAAGGAAATCAGAAACATAGGATATTGGAGGCATGTTACATATTACAGGCCAAGCAGGTTACCCAAATGTCTAGTGTCAGGATCTGGGAGTGATAGGTCCTGGGACTGAATTGGAAAAATATCTGCCCTGCCTAAATGTTTAGGGAGGAAAAATCTCTTGAGGAAAACAGCATGAGCAGCAAGTAAGTTTTGAACTATAGTCAAAAGTGGCACTAACCCCTCTGTAGGTAATCACATCACCCTGGGCATGTAGGATGCTAAGAATGCAGGTAGAAACAGCTGTAGCTTCTCAAGTCTTGGACAGAGCTCCAGAAGTGAGCTACATTAATGTGTCTCCATGGAAAGCAGTATTTTACATTCTCTTCCACCCACCAAGACTGGGTTCTTTCTTCTTCCTCCCACAATTTAAAGGGTACTGCCACCTTGCTTTCCCCTGCTGCGTGGCCATCATCACACCTTCTTGCACTTCTGATTTATGGTCACATGTTGCCTGAAACACCAAAGCTCTCCATTTCTAAGCCATAACAATGCTCTGCCTCCTAAACTCCCGTGTGCTTCTCAGGTGCACTTCCAGGACAGGGAGGAGAGTTGGTGAAGGTTCCTCTGTCCCAGCCACACTTTCTCACAAGGTACTCTGTGTGCCAAAGCCCTTAGGTTTCTGAGGACAGGTGACCAGATAGTTGTTGTGAAGGAGAAAGCACAGTCAATGGCCTGGGGGGCGGGGGGTGGGGGGCGCGGTTAAGAGAAAGTGGGAAACAAACATAGCTTGTGAGCATGGCACCTTTAGGCCCAGGCTATGTAACCTTGACAAGTGACCACACACCTTCATCTGCAGACTGAATCGCCACATGAGCATCCCTTATGAGACAGAAGGGCTTTGTGATGCTGTCTGGTGGCCTGGTTCTGTCCTCTGTGAGGTAGACATGACAAGGCCCAGGGCTGGATGTTATTAGGCTCCAGGACCCTGAAGGCCTACATATAGGGATGGCTGGTCTCCTCATGCTAATGAGGTTTAGACCATGTTGAGTGCTTCATGTGTTCTCTGGGATGCCAAATATCCCTTGTATTACTATGGCTCCATTTTTGCCATTATCCTAATAATCTGGCAAGTGAAAAGGAGTTACTATGGATTGAGGTTGGAACCTAAAAGGAGCTGCTGCCAGGTAGGAAAACACTGTGACCACAACTGAGCTACTTTAAGCCTCACAAGAAGCTTTTACGTTCTCAGTGTTTCTCTGTATTTTCTTCCTCCCCCATTTTTATAATATGCATTCAGTTAATTTGTAACTGAAGTACTTAGAAAAGAATGAAGGAAACTACTTAGAAAAGATAGAAAACCACATAGTACTTATCTGTCTTCTCAGAATCTTTAAGTGCTTACCAGGCCTTCCCAGCAATATATACTAATTAAAAAGTCAAGATCCTCCCTATGTGGCTTGGGTTTAGAACTAGATATAAAAACTATCTCATAGGATCTGAGAAGACCACCCAAATGGGGGACTTTTCTTTTTGGTGGGCTTCGGGGTTTTTTCTGATTAGTTTGCAGTACTGGGGTTTGAACTCAGGGCCTGGCTCTTGCTAGGCAGTTGCACTACCATTTAAGCCATGCCCCCAGCACTTTTTTGCTTTAGTTATTTTTTGGATACCATCTAGCTTTTATGCCTGAATGGACCTGGACTAGAATTCTCCTATCTTTGCTTCCCATGTACCTGGGATGACAACCATGTGTCATTATGCCAGTATTTTTTATTGTTGCTGAGATGGGCTCTCCCAGACTCCACCCCCAGCCCTCCAACCCTCAGCTGGCCTTTAACTGTGACCTTCCTAATCTCCTCCTCCTGGTACTAGGATTACAAGCATGCACCACCACTCTGGGCTCAACCAGTCTAACCAGGCAGACTTCATAAGCAGAAATTCTTGGGTTATCAGAAACACTCTCCCTTTTATCTGTTCAGCTTTTCTGCCTGAGTCATCCTCAGTTCCCTGCAGAACTAGTGAGATTATGCCTTTAATCCTAGCTACTTAGGAGGCAGAGATCAGAAGGATCATAGCTGAAACGCAACCAGGGCAAATAGTTCATGAGACCCTATCTAAAAAATAATACATAGAAAGGGCTGGCGGAATGGCTCAAGTCATAGAGTGCCTGTTTAGCAAACATGAGACTCAGGACTGTAAAAAAATAATAATAATAATAAAAGAACCTGAGAGACTGGGGACAGGAGGAAGCAGAATGGGGAGCCTTAATGTGAATCAGAAACATATAAAGAAGGGAAATGTTGGGATGAAAAAAACGTGGAGTATAGGTAAAGGAAATGTAGGAGAGTGTATAAATGCAGACATACATAGAAAGGGAAAGGGAGATGTATATGACCTTTATCTCACTTTTGGACATGGAAAAGAAAATGGTGTCCCAGTTTCACATTCTAATATTTTTCTCTTTAAGCGTCACCGGAAAGTCAGGCAAAGGGCCAGAGATGCAGCATCAAGAGGTAAAACCCCAGTCTCTTCCCTGATTCCCTACCACTGTGGGAGAGCATCCCATGATTCCTATCCCTCTATGACCCCTGGTGCCAGGAGCCAGGTGTTCTAAACACTGAAGCCTCCAGTGCTACAAATTAACCACTTTCGCAGGGGAGTGCTGTGGGTGGAAAATCAGAACATGGAAATGTTCCAAAATTGTCTACCTTATCCTCCTAAAAATAAAGAATTGAGGAAATAAGGTAGGCGCCCTTAACTGTATCATTTACTAGTTTTATGACCCTGGAGAATTAATCTCTAGTCTTATCCATAAAATAGGCCTAACGTTAAATATATTACACTGTAGTTGTTAGGATAAATGAAAGTGGATAAGGGACAGCATTTATAGATTGTGATGTTGGACCCAGCACGCATTAGAACACTGACTCTGGGTTTTTAGTCTCCTCTTACTGAGTCAAAGTCTTCCTGTACAATGTCCCTGAAACACTCCTATGGAACCTAACACTATGTCCTATTCTACAGCTAGGAGACTTTTCCAGGAAGAAGCTGAGAAGCCATGGAAGCTGCTCTCTGTCATGAAAAGGTGACCTCCTGCTCTTTACAATCTCCCAACTCCCAGCCTGGCCTGTGATTTTTTTGGCCTGGTATGGGACAGGGATGAGGAGAAGGGGATCATGGCTGGGAGGGAGATAACACAGTGGAGGATGATTGACTGGTAAATATATTACACTGTAGTTGTTAGGATAAATGAAATGGATAAGGGACAGCATTTATAGATTGTATGTTGGACCCAGCACGCATTGAGGACACTGACTCTGGGTTTTTAGTCTCCTCTTACTGAGTCAAAAGTCTTCCTGTACAATGTCCCTGAAAACACTCCTATGGAACCTACACTATGTCCTATTCTACAGCTGGAGGAGACTTTCCAGGAAGAAAGCTGAGAAGCCATGGAAGCTGCTCTCTGTCATGAAAAGGTGACCTCCTGCTCTTTACAATCTCCCAACTCCCAGCCCTGGCCTGTGATTTTTTGTGGCCTGGTATGGGACAGGGGATGGAAAGGGATATGGCTGGGAGGAGATAACACAGTGGAGGATGATTGACTGGCTGAGAAGGTTAACAGACAGAGTGCAGTTCCGGTGTCTCAGAAGGTCAGTCACCCAATTCTTTGTGCTAAGGTCCCAGTAGCTCTACAATTCAGGAGTTGAGTGTGCATAATTATAGGGTCACAACATGGTGGAACTCAGCTAGGGGACAAGTTATTCAGCCAAGAGAGATGAATTTTTCATGAAGAAGTCATCACTGGTCACATTCTCCTTTATAGCTACACCCGCAGGGTCTAGCTGACCCTGCTGACATTACTCTGGTCTGTCCAGGGAGGCCATGTTCTGGGCAGCCTCAGTGTATTATCTCCTCTCCTTGAAGATTTCTAGAGAATGGGACTGACTCCTAACAGATAATGTGTACAGAAGCAGGGATACCCTACACTTCTCAGAATGAAGAATTCCCACAAGGACCGCATTTTCCAGTGTTAGGCCTAAATCTTGTAGGAATCGGGGGGAGGGTGGCAGAACAGAAATCTCTAACAATCCACTTCCAAGGAAGCAGATGTCCCTCCATTGTTAATGGCTGCCATTTTCTCTTCCCAGCCAGGGCTGGCTTCCTCAGAAGGGAAGTGTACGGCGGCTCCTGTGTGCAGATCCCTGCTGCCAAATCTGCAATGCTGTGGCTCTGGAGATTCAGCAGCTGCTGGACAGTGGTGAGAGCAACCAAGTCTCCCCCACTTTATTGGAGCCATCGCAGGGCTCTTCTTGCCTAGAGATGTTGTCAAGTGTGTCTTTAGAGCAGAATCTGGAGCTTCGTTCCAGACACTCCAGAGATATTTCACTGGCATCTATAATCCCAACCCGGACACAAGTAACAGAGCACTTAGACCACTCAGCCAATGCAGTCAGCATCCAGGAATACTGGACTGATCACCTCCAGACAGGGCAGGAATTTCAACTTCCAGACACACCCATGGACCCAGTGACTATGACTTCTTCAAGGCTTGAGGAGACTATGGTTCTAGTGAATGAGCAGGAGATGATGCAGAACAACCATAACCTTGTCCAAGAGAACAAATGCCACAATCACTTGAAGCCCCAAGTCTCTTCACTATCCCTGAACCCAGAGATCACTAATCCTGTCTCTTTGGATATGGACTCACTCCTCTCAGCCCACCTGCCATTTCTCAGTCCTAAAGTCCTGAGGCTTCTTGAAGTACATGTAAAAAAATGGATGCATTTCCAGAAGTGGGGTCTCCCCAGACGTGTAGGATTCCCTCAAGCAGCTTATGCCAGACCCAACATTGTTTTCACTATACAGAAAATACCCACAAACTTCCCCCATACTGAATATTACTTCTAAGGTCACTATTGACAAAATTAGGACCATATCCCACCATTCCTGGCATTCATGCTTAGTTGGCCAGCCCACACAGGTCCTCTGGGTTTCAGAATGGTCTATTATAGACATGATTCAAAGAAACCAGTGGCAGCAAAACCAAAATTGCTTGCCCTCTCAAGTTGAACTCATAAGTGGCCACTGTTCACAGCCTGAGCAGCAGACTAATGACCCAGGGAGCAATCTGCAGCAGGAATACCAACAGCTATTCTGTGGCCTCCCTTCTCTGCACAGTGAGTCCCTGGTGGCCACTCTCTTGGGCTCTCAAGGCCCCTCCGAGAACACGTCTAAGCCCCCCTTGAAGGACGGTCTCTGCAAAGAGCTCGCCTTCCTCCCCTTGCTGAGACAGCCGTGCAATGACTCAGTCCCACCAAATTCTCCATCTTTCCCAAGTGGGGAGACTCCATCTGAGCATCAAGGAGCTCAGATCACTGTCCCACTTCTGACTCTGGCTGAGTGTGAAGCCTTGGAATGGCACCTGCTGCAGAGGCAGCTCCAGCTTCAATGGGGCCTACCAGCCATCTTCCAGAGATCTCGGCATGCCCAGATCCCCATTCACTGTGACCTGGTAACAAAGCCCAGTCTCCCAAGACTGACAAACTTCCTGGCCAGGGAAGCCCTTCTCAGTCCTCACCAGAGAGCTCTTCTTCTTCCGGAGCATGCCCGCAGGCTGCTGGAATTCCACCTCCAGAAGCACTTGATTCATCTTCGTTGGGCCTGCCCAGAAGATTCAACAGTCCTTCCAGTTGCTCCTTTCCTCCCCTGACCAGCAGCCCCTGTCCTGAGGCACAGCTCTACCGAGCATGAGCATTGCTGAGCCTGGGGCCCTGGAGGCCAATGGGGATGGTTACCTCTCCTCACCTATGGTGACCCAAGTGTCGATTCCCATGCCACACTTGTTTGTCCAGGTCCAGGCAATGTTACAGAGCCACATTGACACCAAATGTGAACAGATCCTCCAGGTAAGATCCCTGACCGTGTATATAGCTCCTGGGAATGGAGAATTCCTGGGGCCTGGCAGTGGCTCCCCCCTCCTGCATTCCACAAGGCCAGCATCTGGAGCTACAAGCAGCAAATGACCCTGGCCCACATCACAAAGTTTTGCCCTGTGTGCCATGGCCCTTGAGCCAGCAGCACCTGGCCTCAGCAGGTGATGTCATTGAACACCATAAGCTGCCCCAAGCCCTGTCTAAGGAAATCATTGAGAACTGGAGACAACTTTACAGCACAAGTATTTGTGTTTCCTGTCAGGCCTGCCTGCACTCTACTGTGTGGCTCTCTCTAGGGCCATGTCCCCAGCCACCACTAGCCAATCTGTAATGACAGATAAGGTGCCTGAGTCTATTGAAATCCCACAGCAGACTCTGACCCAGATGAGTTCACTTGAAGACCCCTGTAAAGAGGCTTGAGCCATGCTCTCAAGATGACAATGAGACTTGTGAAGACACTACAGAAAAGTTCCAGCATGAAGTGCAGTGGAAGAAATGACTGAGATGGCGCCTCCAGAAAGCCAGACATGTCCTGGCAGCCCCTACTCACTCAAGACATATATCATGGCTAAATTAAATTTCCACCTGAGAAAAAAAGTCCTAGAGATACAATTGGGATTCCAGAATGGGCAAAGGAGTCCCAGGACCCAACTGCAGCAGCCGAGAGAACAAGTCCACACAGACTCTTGAGAATCTAAACAACCAAGGAAGAACAGTGCTCCAGGAACTGCCCATCCACCAGACCCTCCTCCTGCCCCAGATTCTGAGTGGCTCAACCCTAAAGAAAAGCTGGCATTGAGTTAAGCAGTGCAGCACAACCAAAAAACAACCAAGTTCTAAAACAGCCCCTTGATGACCACTGGGCCTCCAAAATCTCACCACCCAGTGGGACATGAGTGAGACCCAGGTGCTTTGTGTTCAGATCCAGGCCAGTATGAAAAAACTCCAGCCTGGAGGAACCCTGGGGCCCTGAGCCCAAAAGCCCTGGCAAGAACAAAGTCACAACCCATGGCCCATACTGACAGAAAAGAGAGGAGGGGATGCAGGCCTTGGGCTGTCCTCAACCAGTGAAAATAGACAGCATGCTGAAGATCAGAGGCCAGAAGTTATGTTTCTGAGTAAGACACCCAAGACTCCTGGCGATGGAGACATAGATTTCATCCTACAGATTCCTGTCAACACAGTTCCCAGCATGGTCGTCAGCCTCAGCTTCCAGAGCCACCTGCAGGAGTCCCCAGGAGAAAAGAAACTGAAAACTAAGCTAAAAGGCATCCTCTCATCTGAAAAGGAGTCCCAAGCTACTCAGTCTGTGGTACGCTGGCTTCCCATGGCCAGGCCTGTCCTGCGCCAACCAATTCAGGGTAAGCCTTTGCAGGGACAAACTTTGCAAGGTCAAGTTTTGCAGGGGCAGGTGATGCCAGCCCTTGCTCCCAAGAGACCCAGTCTTCCAGAGTCTGGCCTGAGAAATAAGATGAAATCCTTTTTGAGCCGCATTAACCCCGAGATGAAAGGCAAAGGGCAAGTGGAATCCATGCCCTCTACAGCTGGCAAAAGAGGCCAAACCCAGAAAAGAAACTGCTGAAAAGAGTGTGGCTCCAGTCAAAAGCCCCATGAAGAGAACTAAGCCAGAGAAGCCAATAGGGTACCCCAAGGTCCGGTCTGCCCCCAGTGAGAAGCCAGCTGGTTCTCATTCCCCAGACAATAAGTTCGGGCTACGCTCCCGACAAGGATCTGCCCCAGTTCAGGTCCACCCCAGCCACTGCCCTCGGCACTGTCCTCGAATGGCTTTGCCACCCAACCAGGGAACTCAGCCTATCTCCCAACCCTCACCTCCGAAACATCATCCTGCTCAAGGATTACACTCAGGGCAATGAAAAGAGTTTCTGGGCCCCCCAGGCTCTGCATCCCTTGAAGAGCACTGCTATTGTCATTTCCAGTAACAAACAGGTGGGGCAGAGCGCCACCAGAAATATACTCTAGACCTCTAAAGAGTTGTCTGTCTGCTCCTTGCATCTGCTGTACTTTGTTAAGGGAAGGAATGAAGGAAGCCAGTAAGTCTACCCCATCTAGGGTTGGAGCTCTAACTCACATTTCAGATGGGTCAGAATTACACTATTCCTAGTCCACCCTGGATTGTTTGTAAAGGGACTAGTACAGGATGGAAGTCCCTTATGTAAAATACAATACAGGTAAAAGTCAGGGGCTCTTGGAGTGACTCAAGTGGTAGAGTGCCTGCATAGCAAGTGTAAATCTATAAGTTCAAGCCCCAGTACTTCGAATCAAAAAAAAAAGACTTTTTTAAAGAATGGCAAAGGTCAGGCTTAAATTCCAAACATCCACTCCCACCAAATTTTGCATCTCTCATATCCACTGGGAAACTTTAGGGAAAATTCTGAGATATGTCTAGATTTCATTACAAAGGCCTGAGGGTGGATTGAAGACGAGATAAGGGAAATTAATTGCCTTATCGCTGCAAACCACCCACAAAAAGACTTTATGTCAGTCTTGACATTAATCCCATCATTACCAGTGTTACCATGTTCTGTTTATTATAAATTTTCCAAATCATTAACCCCAATCAATCCAGAGGCAACAAGTACTTATTTTTATCTACCACTATATGGTGCTTTCTTTCCACAAAGTTTATAAAAAATGTAATTAGCTCTGGTCCAAGTGACATTTTCCAACTGCTACCTAGCCCTGCTGCTGGAAATTGTGAAAATTTGTCCCAGGAACCAATTCCTCCTCCTTTTGGCTGGTATCTGTAATGGCTTAATAGATCCTTCATTTCAGAGATCCCTTGGCCCATAGAGTTTTGGTTCACATCCAAAGTCTAAACAAAGCATTACATCAGTGTGATGAATGCTGTGAGGTATGGGGGTCCTTACACAGAAGGAAGTATCATGAGGGAAGGGTGTGGGACAAGGAGATAAGAGAAGGGGAATCCTCAACTCAGGTCCTCAATTGCCCACCCAATCAAGGCCCTTTAATTCAATGATTAAAAGAATTTCAAAGAGATTCATGGGCATGATTCACAAGGTAAGGGAGAAGTAAAAAGGACAAAAGGAAACACCCTCTGACATGCACAGGGTGGGCGCTAAGAGGCTCAATAGGTGGTTCTCTTCCCAGAGTATATGACCTAACCTAAATGGGGTGGGGGGAGGGGAGGTCCAGTTTAAACTTTAGGGAAAGTGGTGACTTGAAAATCTTCAACCATTTGCTAAGTTCCTGTTTTGATGTCATCACTCAAACATGAAGACAATGGGTCTAGGGTGGCTTTATAATCAAAGCGTCTTGATTATATGGGTGTCTTCTTGTGACCTTGAGCATTCCTTTCTGGTGAAAGAATCACTGAACCAGGACTCATCTAAGGAAATTGCAACTTTTGTAGCACCTAAGGAAGAGGAGAGTGATGGAAGGAATGCATACATGTACTTTCTTAAAAAGATTAACTTTTGCTACTCTAGTGATTTCTTTTAGTCTTAGTTCCTGATATTTTCAGATTTCCTGTGATATTTTCACATAGTACTATCTATCCTGCCTCAGAAGTACTCAGCTAATGAGGAGGTCCCCAGAAGTGTTACAATGAAAATGACCTTAAGAAATATCTTACACTCAACAAATACTGAGTATTTAACTATGTGTCAAGTAGTATACTAAATGATAACAAGACACAGGCCTTGCCACAAGAGAGCATATGATCTCATGAAGTGAACAATGTCACATGCCCAAATATCTAACCATCATATACATTTGGAAGTCCAATATTTATCTCAAACTATATAAAAACAGCTGATCCTTATCTCAAACTAGCAAAAACGCTATGTCTTATTATTGCTTATGTCTTCAACAAAATTGGAAAAGAGAGCAGAACAGGTTCTGCCTGGAAGTGTGTGGGGTGGGAGTAGGGGAGGGGGCGTGGGGCAGGGGAGAGAAATGGCTCAATGTATGCACATATCAATAAATGAATAAATAAAAATGAAAAAGCTGGCAGAGGGGCTCAAGTGGTAGCGTGCCTGCCTAGCAAGTGTGAGGCCCTGAGTTCCAGCCCCAGTACCAAAAAAAAAAAAAAAAAAAGTTACAAACTATATAAAACTGAACTCTGAATCCCTGCCCCCAACACCCATTCACCCATACCAAACCTTCAATCATAGTATTTCTCACATCATTTAATGGCAACTCCATCTGCACAGTTGTTCAGACTGATGCATCCTTGATTTTTTTATACCAATAGTCCACATCCAATCCCTCAGCCAATCCTGTTGTCTCTACCTTCAAATATGCACCCATATGCATCAAGACTATGACCACTTTTACCTCCTCCTACTGTTATCATTACTGTGAGAACATCATAGCTAATCTCTGTTTTATTCTGAGACCATACTCTCAACAGTCTATCCTCAACACAGAAACATGATGGCCTTTGAGAGAGTTCTAGCTACATATAATGGAAGATAGGTAGGTAGATACAGAGATAGATAGATATAGAGATAGAAAGGTGTATATAAAACCATGATACCAGATAAAATCACAAAGGGATTGAGTGTAAATGAAGAAAATGAAAGATCTAGGATTGGGCTCTGATAGGCTTCTATTTTGAGAAATTGAGCCAGGTACTGGTGGCTCACGCCTGTAATCCTAGCTACTCGGGAGGCAGAGATCAGGAGGATCCTGGTTCGAAGCCAGTCCTAGCAAATAGGCAAATAGTTCACAAGACCCTATCTGGAAAAACCCTTCACGAAAATAGGGCTGGTGGAGTCGCTCAAGGTATAGGCCATGAGTTCAAGTGCCAGTACCACAAAAAAAAAAAGAAAAAAGAAATTGAAGGGGTAAGGGGTAGTACAGTGGTAGAACAGTTGCCTAGAATGTAAGAGGTCCTAGGTTCAATCACTAGCACCAAAAAAAAAAAATTAGAAAATATAGGAGGAATCAGCAGTCAATGAAATAATGGAAAAACCAGAAGAGTGTGGTATACTGGAAGCCAAAAGAGAAAAAAATTTCAAAGTGATCAATCACATGAAAACTTTTCAACTAGCCGGAGTAAGATGAGAACAATCAGATTTAGTCACAAAGATATTATGTCCTCAAGAGAGGAGGGAGGCTGAGAATGGAGAGCTGGGCGTGGTGCACACACCTATAGTCCCACCACTCAGGAGGCTGAGCCAGGAGGATCCCAAATCTTGAGCCAGCCTGGGCTACAGAGCAAGAGCCTGTCTCAAAAAAACAAAAACAAAAAGAAGAGAGAAAGAGAATAGGAGAGGAGAAGAGCAATTAGTGATAGCAAGTGTAATCACCTCTTTCAAGGAGTTTTGATCAAACATGCACAAGGCCTAGGATTTAATCCCCAGCACTACACAAAAACGTACAGAAATATGAGACAATGCCACTAAGAGGGTGTTTTCAAAATGTATGGACATATAGATGTTGAAAACTTATGGAAAAGATGCAGTTGAGAGGGATAAATGAAGGACAAAAAGGGAAGAACTGCTGAAACAACATTGTGGTGTAGGAGTGAAGGAATGGGAGCAAGTCCTCAGTGAGCATGCCAGTGTTGGCTTTGCACTGGTAAGTGAAGACAATAGTGTTAATAAGAGTGCTTTGTGGGTAAGAAGAACTCTTTCTCTCAAATTAGATTGTGGGCTAAAATCCAGAGAGGTGAATGAAAAATCTAGGGAAGGCCCATGATTCCCCCCACAGGGATGAAGAGCCAAAGTGAAAAAAATGGGAGGTAGAGAGGGATTCTGGAAGTTATAATGGAAAATTTCTGTTAGGACCTAAGGGGTTGGTGGCAGTATGAGCAGAGATGGGCATGAAAAGGTAGTTGAAGTTGCTGATCATGTATACTAAAGCATGGGTTCTTGGAACATTGGAGCAGCAGGAAAGATCCCAGGGAAAGTTCTAAATGTATGAAGCCTGAAGAAGAACATGGGGCTGGAAACATAGTAACAAGACAGGAGTGGCATCCAAATGCTAAGCAAGGGACTGGGGGATTGAGTGCAGGAGGAGAGACCTGGAAACAGGAAGACAAAGAGGGTGCCCAGAGTAGGTAGGTGGACCCAACTGACCACCCTAATATTCTTCAGAAGGTGGCACCTCTGCTGTTTGATTCCAACCTACCACGGAGGAGCCAAGGGCTGGAGTAAGAGTAGAAATTGCTGGGTTTCCTTATGATGTGGTATGAGGGACAAGAGGTGCCCTTTGTTCAAAGGAAAACTAGGATCAGTCACCATCCCATCAAACTATGAGGAAGTAGTGGCAGGACTTCCTTCCTCTGATAGGATCTACTTTTTAGCATTATGTGTCCCCTTTTACAAAAATGTAGGAAGCCCAGACAGCAAGTAGTATGGACGTGTTGATCCTGTGAATGGTGATTCTGTGTATGAAGAATGGGAGGCCCAGCCCCTAATTGGTCCCCAGGGCAGAAACACACAAAACCCAGGCCTGCTGAGCCAACATTCTCCAGGTGTTTTCCTGAAGCATCCCAAAGATCAAAGGAGGTCTTGTGACAGGCACATCCTTTCTGCCTAGTGGGAGTGGGGAAGAGAATCATAGAGCTGGGAGACTAGAGGGAGCTTCAGAATG